CCTCAAGACGTGGTTGTTCCAGCTAGCGGGACTGGCCTAAGGGATTTTAAAGGGGTTTTAATTACTTTTAATCTGACATATTTAAATATTTCTTTTTAATCAAATTTTAATTAGGTATAATATGTATAATATGTTAGTATTTTATTCAATTGTCAGCCGCCCTGAGTCCGCAAGGAGAAGGGCGGGATATAAATGTAATAAATAAATAAATAAATAAATAAATAAATAAATTGGAGGAAGGAACCTTTGGATATAATTCTTGGATTCCCCTGTGAATGTATTTTTTTTTTGCTCCTGTGAAATACTGCAGTCATTTGAAAAGAGTTGATGCATACTGTTTATGTAGTTTACAAACAAACAACCTGTTGCCTTTCAGTTGTTTTAGAGTTTAGTTCCCATTTGTCGTAACCTATATGTTCAGTTGCAAAAGGATTGTGGGTAGTTGCTTCTTCCAGCATAGGGTAATTTCAGCACAAACCAAAGGAAAAGGGATAGCATGGAACTTTAGTGGCACTTGGAACTATTGAGGTATTATTAAAACTGTAAAATTCATCACACAAGCAGAAGAGAGCTATCCTACTCCTCCATAATTCACAGCTCTGATAATCAGATTAGAAATGACATCTGTGTACATATCTCAAAGGTGCTTTTTCAAAAGGCAACTGGACTGGTTTTTTTCCCTTCAGGAAGACATTTCATTTGTCATCCAAGAAGTTTCTTCAGTTCTGACTGAATGGTGGAGAATGGATTTATATTCCTTGCAGTCATCTGGTCATAAGTACTTTTTCTGAAAGTTGTTGAGGCCACTTGGAGGTTTATCTGTGCCCCAAGTGGTCTCAGTGACTCTCAGAAAAAGTGCTAACAACCAGATGACTGCACGGAATATAAATTCTTCCATTCTCCAACATTCAGTCAGAACTAAAGAAGCTTCTTGGATGAGAAGTGAAACATCTTCCTCAAGGGGAAAAAATAGCCCAGTTGCCTTTTGAAAAAGCACCTTTGAGACCTGGATGACTGAGAATCTCCACAGACATCTGTATATAATCTAGAGATAATTGTATTCAGTTGCAGACGTGCTGATTTGCTTGCAAGCCTGAAATTGTACAAAGTTTAGGCTTCGGTAGTGCCAAAGCACATATACCTGTAAGTGTGAAGTTTTTTCACAGTGCAGATATCTATCATTATTTGTCATCAGAAACCCAACCTGTGGGGAGGGTAGTGAACTTTTCTGCTACTTATTCCATAAGTTTTAGATTGATTTCAAACTCACACTATACTTCTGAATGCCAGATTAACCCATAAAATCATGAACCATGAAACATGCTAGGCTGCTTAGCTATGAGACTTTGCCCAGGTTAACATTAATTAAACTTTTTAAAAGATAAAGATGCCCTTGAGTTAAGGTTGATTTGTGGTGACTACATGAACACATGACAGTTTTCTTGCCAATACTATAGAAATGTTTTTGCTTTCTGCATGTTTCCTACTTCCTTGTCTTATCTACAAGCCTGCAATTCCCACCCATATATTAAGATATGTAAAGTGCATCTGCTAGGTTTTTATGTAACTTGGTTAAGAGTTCATACATCATCATAAGTAGCTGAACTGAGGATTTATTACATTTATCTAATTGGTTTCTATTGAGATGAGGTCTATATGTCAACAGAAGGTGAAGCTGATGTCAACTGTGGTGGAATGTCCTTTCCTGTCTTTCTTGCAATGAAGAAAAAAATGGCTGTTGTTAAACCAATGCTTTTAGAAAGTTTATGAGATTAAACCAAGGACACATGTAGATCTGAAGGGAGAGGGAAAAAAGAAGAAATGAAATGTCCTGTCAACAACCTTAATTTTAATCAAATGATCATGATATGACCCCCTTGCAATCCAATTACAAATGACAAGAATAGCATATAAACAACACTTGCAAGGAATGTTGCCAGATAACCGCTCTTTCCTTTCTCAACCCTACACAAACACGTCTATAAACAGATTTGTCTTTTAGTCATTGAATCTGCTGACGTGGGATGATGGAAGCTAATCCATCATAATGGAAAAACACCATTTGGGATAAAACAGCAATCTTATGGAAGTTAATGGGAAGATGTCCCCCATCTTATCCTCACCCCGTAACCTATCGTCCCACAAAAATTTGGAAACAAAACTTTATATTGTGCTAATTTAGCATAAAATGGGATTCTGATTCAGGGTATTTCTGTCTTCCAGCAAGTCCCCTTATCCCCGATTCTTCAGGGGAGCCTGTTCCTCAACTTCTCCTGAAACTTTTAGGATTCACAATTGGCTACAGGTGGAAGGAGAAAATGGGGAAAGTTTCCTCTGTAAATGACCTTATGTTAACTTCTCCCAGACTCCAAATTTATGTGTTTTATATTTGCTGCAACATGATACGTTATAGGGAATGGAATACTGGATCTGTGGGGGAATGTTACAGTTTTTTTCCAGCAACATACCAATTGGAAGATGAAGCAGTTGTTGTTTTTAATGGAGAAAATGAGCTCAGATGTTCTTCCTGTAGAACACACACGCACACATATGCAGACACAATTTATTTTGGTCTGATAGGTTGCTGTAGCTTATGAACTCCAGTGGTCTGTCCTCAGATCTGTCTTCCACATCTGCTTTGTATCTGCGTAAATAAAAGTTCAAGCCTCTTTTTCTTTTTGAAAGTAATTGCATTTCAGCTTTCCATATGCTTATAAAATACTGGTAGTATTGACTTTGTAAGGAGACCAGGGGTTTATATTGTTCACATAATATATGCTTAATGCATACTTTTAAGCAGTGCTTTTTTTTCTTAAAAAAAAAGGTGCCGGAACTCACACATGTCAATACAATCCGGCTTGCCTACCCTACAAAGTTCCATCCAAAAAAGGTGCCGGAACTCCGTTCTGGGCGTTCTATGAGAAAAAAGCCCTGCTTTTAAGACAGACTTATAGTAGTCATGAGGCTGGGAATTATAGTCCATTAATGTCAGAATATCATGGGTTATTCACACTGCCCATATTCCATACCACAGAACTTGAAGTCACTCTGTTTCACTTTTCTAGGCAAGGCAGGGGAAAATAAATCAAGGGAAATGTTAATTTATGAAAATTATAAATTGCTCAAGTGGAATTTTTTTTTAATTTGGAGAGTTCAACCATGTTATTAATAAAATATGATAGATAATGCATTACACTTTTTATAAGGCGGTGACCCAAGTCATATAAAGCAAACACCCACGTGGTGCTGTTCCATTTGGTGTGCAATTCTGTTTGTGGTTTGCAGCAATCTGATGAAATTGCAGATGCACCCAGCAAAGACATGTTTCTGGAGAATTAGGAAAACTACTACAAATGGTATAAATCTTATAAAGCACTAGAGATCATAATTCACCAAGTGTGGTTGGTAGAAAGTTGGTTTTGTCCAAGCACCCTTTTGTTGCAAATTCTGAATGTCGGACTGGTTATGTGAATGGCTGCTGAATTCAGACTGTTTTGGCCCTATCTATGAGGTTTGGTAGCTGAGAAGCCAGCTCAAATTTTTTATTTATTGGAGTAGATGCCAGAAGCATTGCAAAGTGGAATAAGTTATATTTTCCTTCTGTTTCTCTCCACACCAGGAGGAATAGACAAGGCTGGCCATTCCTTGCTGACCATAGTGCCCCAGCCTCTTCAGGATGAGTTGCCTCCAGGACAAGAGGATCTGGTTAATACCTTAAGATATATGCACTCACTTCTCAGGTAACCTATTATTTAGACAAAATGAGATAACAGCCTCAAGGAACAATTGCTGGGATGCTGCTGTCAGTCTTCATCCAGAACTGCTCCTCCTGAGTTGTAGTGATGGTGGCTATATTGCAGTCTGGCTTCATTACCTTCTCTTGTCATCATTACCTATGTCAGTGTTTAGAGACGAAAGTAGTTCAAACCACACATATCACTGACAAGATGCTCACAATATACTTTGATCTGCTTCTGCTATGTTCTAGCATTTGCCAAGCCAGAGGTGATAGCGTGGTAAATGATCAATGCTCAGATATATAGAGTAAGAGGATGCTGCTGTATGTACCTAGTTGCTTGTCTTAAGGCTTTTAACTCTAACTTGTAACTAAGAGATATACGTAGCTCCCTGCTTTGTCAGAATGATGTTTGTCCCTTGTCTCAGGCAGCAAAGTTGACGCCAGTTGCGCCCCTTTCTGGATCGGGACGCCCTATGCACGGTCACTCAAGCCCTCGTTGTTTCCCGCCTGGACTATTGCAATGCTCTCTACATGGGGCTCCCCTTGAGGTGCACCTGGAGGCTCCAGCTAGTTCAGAATGCGGCTGCGTGGGGGATTTTGGGGGCCTCTAGAAGCTCCCATGTAACACCTCTCCTGCGCGAGCTGCACTGGCTGCCGGTGGCCTTCCGGGTGCGCTTCAAGGTGTTAGTAACAACTTTTAAAGCGCTCCATGGCAATGGACCTAGGTATTTGCAAGACCGCCTCCTACCAAATATCTCCCTTCGACCAGTCCGCTCCCACAGAGAGGGCCTCCTTAGGGTACCGTCGGCCAG